TTTTTAAACTTAAGATGTCCTGACTTGATAGATTAGGAGTTTTTTTTTACAAATTGTCACCTCATATGACATGTTGTGATGCATGTAGAGTGGAAAAAATGTGTGATACCTCAGGTTAAACAGTGTACTGGTGGTTGCCTTTTGATGGCAGACAGCAAATGGTTGCGATACGTATCATCTGAGGTCATGCGGGGGTGCGGGAGACAGTGCTCCTTTTTCATGTTAGATTATGCAGGCAGGTAGTAGTACTGTAGAATTGTTTCTCATAGTGTTGGGTCATTTGTGACCTGTTAATATTTGTCATTATATATAAAATATATATATCCTTGAATAGTATATGACAGTTTTGTATGTACATACTCAAAGGAGGGACAAAATATTTTATCATATCCACCTCATAAAGTTGGGTGACATTGTATTCTCCATCTACTAACACCCAAAATTTATACAGGTTCTACCTCAAATTCTCCTGAATAGATAAATTTTATAAAATAATTGTTTTCATCTGTCCCAAAACGTTAATGGCTAAGCCGTTGGTAGGATGCGACCATGTTAGCAACCGACTTAATTGTAAACTACTGTACAGTGTTTTTACGGTGCACAACATTTTTAAACAAACTTAAATGCGACGTTTTATAAATTATGCTGTTATACAAAATCTTCACAAAACAGCTAGGAGTAAATCATTGCACCATGTGGCTCATCCATGCCCAAACAATGTTCGTGGTTACTTGCATTGGTTCCGAGGATCAACGTCCCCACAGCCTGGTCTCTGACCAGGCCTGCTGTTGGTGGTCTGGTCAACCATTCTTAAACACAAAAATAAAATTGAAATACAACATTATTAAATAGTTATTATTATCAGAAAATAATAACTCTACCTATACCCAAGATTACCAAAAACAGATGTTGAAATATTTTCAAGACACTGTCATACTATGCTTTGAGTACCAGAGTGGCATGGCTTCTAGAATATTATCACTGTACTTTCCCTTCATTGACCATATGGGTTACAACAGCGACAGTGGTGCTGAAGGAAGTAAGAAAATAATAAATATATTTCCATTGGGTAAAAAATTAACACATTCACTTTATAACAATGTTTCAATTTTTGGGTCCAATAATAATTATACAGTATATAAATTGCAAACCAAAATAAACTTGGAAATAACATTTCATTCACTTGCACCATTGGGGACTTGAACTTATGACCAGAGTAAAGAAGATGGTTGGGTTGACTGCTCTTTCTGGACCTAAAAAGGCTTTTGACAGAGCTCTTTTTATTTGACCTTCCAGAGTTGTTACCTTGCAATTCAAGTTTTCATTACCACTCCTCATATTGGTGTGTGTTTGTGTAAGGTGTAAGCTGGATATTCAGCCTTAGCCGTGAAAGTGGTAGGATGTACCTAAGTGAAAGCTGCCTGTTGACAGTTGGATGAGTAATTACCTAAGTGTAGTTACAAGATGAGAGCTACGTTTGTGGTGTCCCGTCTCCCCCCAGCACTTGAGTATTTTATATATAGTTCTTCACCTATGTCTAATCTTCTGTTGTCATTGTATCTGTTGATTATTTCTTTATTGTTGTTCAGGATATCTCTAATGATGGTCTGGTTATGTGTCAAAATTGTGTTCTTTATTAGAGCCTTGTTGAGCCTTTAATTTCTATATATCTTAAGTTTAAATAGAACCAGATATTTCTAAATATTAACATGGCAAAATATAAATCAGGACAATAAGGGAATACAATAACATTATTTTAAAATGTATGGTACTAAACAAATATATACAATAAAACTATTAATTTTAAGTGGTCAAAAAATGATTGGTTGATAATACAGTACTGTACTGTACATGGGAAACGTACAAGTACAGTACGTACTGTTACATAGAGTTCTGTAATTCGGATTTCGGTGACCTGAATCTCCTAGTAATCTGAATGAATACACGTTTGAGTTCTTGACCATTTATCCTGAATAGGAATTCGTTTTAATGAAACTTCTGCCAAACAGGAAACACAAATAAACATCAAGTTTTGAGTTTTTGACCTCTGAACTCAAATACAAATTTGGGTTACGAAGACTTTTGCAAAATGAAAACACAAATAAATTGCAACAAATGTATTTTTGGACATTCCCAGTAAAAAATCTGCGAACTTGAATGGGGGTGGGCCATGTATAATTTGGTTTATTGAGTGTAGATGGTATTGAAATAAACAAAAATAACAAATCATCAAAATGAATACAGTTAACAACTTTAAATAATACAATAACTGACAAAACCACATCAGTTTCTATAGAAACAAAACAAAAATCATATTAAAAAAAATCATGTACCTTAGATATTAAAAATGGGATGATAGAGGAAATTGACTTGCATGGAAACTGTTTAAAACTATACATACCTGGATTTTACCTGGATGGGGTTCTGGGAGTTCTACTCTCCAAGCCCTGTGCAAAGCTTGGTTTATGAGAATATATACAAATGACTTTTATTTAGTGTAGAATGAAGTTTTCTGATGTACAATAACTCCATTAATCAAAAAGAGTCACTGTAGTTATTTGTAATTTCTAAGTTAGAATCAGAAAGGAAGGTCTGCTGAGTGAGTATCCTGACTAATTCCAGAAAATGATGGCTTAGATAAATCTTGATGAAGCTTTCAATATATCTAGCATTACAACTAGAACATACAGGATATAGTAAACAATACTGGAATGCAATGGAGTAAGAAGATTATCTTTAAATTATGTGATGATTGTATTAGCATTCGTAAAAGTAAACCTTAAGTCTATTTTGGGACAGCATTGTTGAAACAATTTACAGAGTTGATTTTTGGCCAAGAAGCTAATGAACCAATGGAACTGCAGAGTAATTTAATATACTGTATTGTATCTAATATCCTTATCCACATAAATTTGATGGGACAAAATTTATTCTGCAAAAACTGTTTTAGGTATCCTTCATAATGTAAGTATGTACATTATGAAGGGATAACAATTATTAAAAAAAGAAGTGGTAAATTTTAGTTCAATATCAAAATTATATGAAGTTGAGTAAAGAGAATAAGCTCTCTTAACAAGGGTTCTGATTGAATTCTTCATAAATCAGGAACAAAAGAATGAAAATTAGGGCTTAAACAGTGAATGTTGATTTTCTATAAATGGAAGTTTTAATGCCATTATCATTAATTAGTTTAAAATCAAGAAATCATATACAGTATATTTATTTACTTTACATTCAGTTCAGTACTTAAATTAATACTCAAATGCCAAGAATTCAAGTAATCTTTAAATTTAACAATATGAGAGAGTTCCTTGAAGAGTAAAATGGTGTCTTCCACATATCTTCTATAAGATACCTGTTTAAATTCACGAGAGCAACTCACTAGCCAACTTTTTTCATAAAAGTTAGGAAAATGTTGGTAAGAGACGGACCCAAATGACATTCCATAGCAACTCCATTGATTTGTTTGTAATAACTACTGTACATTATTAAACATAGAAATAAGAGTCTTGAACAGAAAGCCTAATAGTGATTTAATGGTTTCTCATTAAAATCACAACAACAGTTAGATTTAAGAAATTACTAATCAGTGAAAATATCAACCAGTAGAAGATAAAATTAAAGTCCAAAAATCTAATGAATAAAAAATCTCAAGAACTTCTTACAGTATACTTTGCTAATAATGTTTAAGGGCTCCTGGCACGGAATCAAAAACTTTGCCAAATTGCAATTGTATGTAACAATAGTTCGTAAACAGTGGTCACGCTGTGTTAAAAACAGGTTTATTCTAGTGCCCTCAACCTGTGAAAGTTTCCTACACTAAAGTCATTCTTCTCAAGGTTTGGGTGCTTGAAAATCAAACTACCTTTGTGTCCTGGTACCTTCTCAATTTTCCTTGCCTGCATTGCTAGTATGTAGCCCCGGGATGGCTTTCTTCCAGATGGACATCTGGATCAAGCTGTTTTGTTGTTCAATTCCTCAGTTGCTAGGCCCTTCATGCTCTTGTGGCGTCTTCTGGTCCAGGTTAGTTTTACCTAGTTTTATTGGTTTTGACTTCAATTATGATATCTGCCTCTGAGCAACTGAGTGGGACAGCCCAAAAATCAGGCTTTTGAGTATTCAAAGTATGAAAATATCCTTTCTGAGCAGGACATTCAGTGCCCCTCAGCCCACCTTTGTTTTTTTTCCCGTGTTCAGGGTTTATTTTGGAGTCGGGTAAGAATGTGAGTAAGCTGGAATCGGCAAACCTCCGTTGTGCATCGTAGGTGTTGCCACCTAATGATTGTATAAGGTGATCAGATGGCCCAACTGGTAGTTAGGAAGAGCACTGCTTGGCAGTGTATGTGATGCAGAGTAGTACTTGGAAAGGATTTGAGGTCATTCTGAGCTGGATTAAGCTTTGTCCTGTGTCTTCCTAGTGCTAATATGACCCTATATTGTACTGTACTTGATACTAACTAAACCTTGTCCAAGAGAAAGTGTCGTGCTCGGAAATGAGATTTTCATGTACAGTATTTCATATGCACTCGAAACCTGATTTTTTTCTTAATTGTCGTTTTAGATAATAGGCATTCATATTTCAAAACATTTTCCCATAAACACAATGTTAATTATTTTAAATTGAAATTAGTACATTATACTGTACTGTATTTCTTGTTCAACCTCAAGAATTTGAATTGACAATGTGCCATTTTGATATACAAATTTGATGTGTCTATGGCTCATTCCTAACAGAATAAGAAATCTTTGCAGGGCTTTTTCAATGAAGAAATAATTATTTATAAAGATAATTTGTAAGACCTGTTGACCAAGTAAAAGAATTGATTAAAAATATAAATACAGTGTAATAAGTAGTTGTTGGTGAAAATACTTGGCTCTCTTTATGAAGATACTCGATCACTTATTACAAAGTGGAATATGAAATTAAAATTGGCTACCAATAAAAGCAAACTTAGAAACCAAAATAATTTCACAAGACTACAAAAAGTTAATGTTTACAGGTGCAGCTGAACAGTGAGAGTCAAGCAAGCAGTTCACGTGGAAGCTTAGAAGCAGTAAAGGTCTCCACAACACTGAAGAAGCTGCACCATATTCTTTCTAAAACAAGAACACCTGATAATGATTCAGCTTTAGTACAAAATTCAGAGCTCATTCAGGAAAAGCCTTTTTCTTGTATATTTTGCTCATTCCGTGCTGTCTGTCAAAGCAAACTGATTGATCACCAACGAACCCATACTGGAGAAAGACCATTTTCATGCCCATTTTGCCAAGCACAATTTGTAAGAAAATCCCATCTGAAGCAACACCTCAGTACTCACACAGATGAGAGACCCTATACCTGTCAATACTGCCCATATCGGTCTCGTAGGATGAGCACTCTGAAGAAGCATCTAGACACACACACAGTGTAAAATGTGATGTATGATGGTATTATTCTTGATATACATTCAGTAGTTATTCAAAAGATATAAGTTTCATGCAGACAATGAGCCAGTAACATGACTGAAGATATGATGTCCAAACCACACATCAGAAAATTAATGAATTATTACATGACTTGATAATGGCCGAAGATGAACTGAAATATCATCGTTTCTTCATCTTCTGATGGGTAGTTTGAATAATATACAGCTTTCATTTTTATGCTATAGTTAAGTTTCTAATGAGAACTAAGGAGCAGAGAATTCAAAAGAAGCAGAATTACTGATGATTATTTAGATATCTGTAATCTAGAAACTAGACAAACTAAAAAAGGGGCATGCATGGACAAGAAAGTTGGCTATATGAAAATTTCACGTGCAGACTTATCTTTCGGCAAAATAGGATGCCAACATGCCTCAAGATATATTAGGCAATTATGACAGAATTGTTAACTCTTCATCGAATATTTTTTTTTTTAATTATATATAAACAACAGAAAAACTGATACGTAATTAAATATCCTGGAGACATAATTCACCAAGTAATGATGTTCACATTTCAAAATATATCAGTTAAAATTGGTACAGTAATCTATTTCCTACAAAATGTCTGAGTAATATGACTAAAAAATTCTCATAAACTAAATAAATAAATAAAAACAGTGGTTGTAATGGAACCCAATAACTGGTCAATAAAAGTTTTCTTACTCCAACTCTTAAGCATACTGTCATTATAACATCATATTGCACCTTATTTATGTGTTTTGATTTTGTTATGGCATTTTGAGATGTACTTTACAGTACTGTATATTGTATATGCTGAAACCATATATCTTTAGATTGAGTTTCTTGTAAAAAATATTATAAGTGTAAATTGATACTAGTAGAATCCCTTTTATGTGAGAGATTGCTTTCTTATTACAGTACTGTACAATAATTCCATTATGATGAATGCACAGTATCTTCTGAAATCCAATTGGATGTACAGGTGGACCAACATTAAAGAAAGTTAGACATTTAACACTAGGGATCCACTCTTTCAACCATAGCCAATGCATAAATATTACACTGTTCTCAGAACCCCATAAAATGTTTATACTTTTTTTTTGGGGGGGGGGGGTCATTTCTAATGTTATTTATTGGGTCATAACTAAATTTTTCAGTGGTTCAGTGTGCATAGCATTGCTGAATATATACAGCAATGATGAAAGTGAATGATGATGTCCAAGATTGTAAGAGAGAAATTATCACGAGCTCAAAATTTGGCGAGGTGTCAGGCAGTTTACAAATACTATACAGTCTGTACTGTATATGCATCACTTGTGCATAATACAGTACAGTATATCATGATGTACAAAAAACATAACATACCGTAATTATATGACAAGTCATAGAAATAGGATTGAGGGAGGTATTTCTGGCAGATATTTGGTTTAAACTGTTAGATGATAAAGGTATGTGAATTTTTTAGGGAAAGGAGGTAATAGGGGTGTGTGCTGGCTGGGGAAAAGTTTGGGACTGAAAGAAAAAAAGTTGGGGTAAAAAAGAACAGGAGCAGACACAGGCATCACCATAACAACACCCTTAAATGTATACCACACAAAAAGCAGGAGTCTTTAAAACAAAATAGATGATTGCTGTGCACACAAGTGCACCTAAACAATAGATATTATTGTATTCCAATAACAGAAACATGGATGAATGTAGAAAAAGTGAATTGACAGATATACTGTATAATCAGTATATATAATAATTTATAAGTTAATACTGTATATCAAATTAACAGGTATATATTATTTCATACTGATAGATATTTGACGACATGATGTATCATTATATGTCAGCAAATTTGAACTGTAATGTCAAAGAGGAGGAATGAAAATTTCTGAGGAATAAGAAAACTCTGTGAAGGTACCAAATTTCCATGAAGCAAATTATGTGATACAGTACCTATTAAGAAGTTACTTGGGAAGGGTAGATTGGACAGACCAGAACATGAGAGGTGGGCTGTCTCTGGGACGTGATGGGAGTCAAGAGGTTGGTGACATGACAGTGGACTGGGATGTGAATTCAACTTATAATTCTATTACAATAATTTTAATGTCCAGGAACAAAGTTCAGTACTGTATAAATTGATTAGGTCATATAACAATGATCCAAAATGGATGACCAAGGGACTGAAAAAAACTTTATTTGGAATAAAAAAAGCTCTATATAATATAACAAATGAGAAAGGATATTTAAAACAACAATTAAACTATTAAAAACAGTTAAAGAAAAGAAACAAGAAAAGCAAAAAGAAATTATGAGGTATGTGCAGCAGATAGGCAAAAATATACCCCAAAGAATTTTTCCAGATATACCAAAGACTAGATAGAAGACTGGTCCTTTGACAAATGAGTTAGGTCATGTAACTGATAATGACAAAGAAATAGGTAGCATTCTAAATAAGTACATTATTTATGTATTTACTAGAGAAGAACTTGACATTTTACCCACACCTAAACAAATTATGTATGGAAGGTGGTGAAGAAGGCAAGTTGAATTGTTTATGCATTACCATGGATAAAGTTGTTAAACAGTTTGAAAAATTAAAGTCAAACAAATCTTCAGAACCAAAGTCTTTGACAAGATTCTAAATGAATGTAAAGAAGAGATGAGATGCAGTCCCCATGACGCAGTGGTAAGACACTCGCCCAGCGCTTTGGCCTGGGTTCGTATCCTGTCTGTGCAGGATTGACTGGGCGCCAATCCTTAACTGTAACCTCTGTTCACCCAGCAGTGAATGGTTATCTAGTTAAACAATTTGGTGGCTCGTTTTCCTGGGAAACTTAGGATAAAGGACCTGCCTGAAATGCTATGTGTGCTAGTGGCTTTACTAGAATATAAAAATTCTTGCATATATAAATAAATAAAAGATCTAAGTGATCCCATAACATTAATATTTAATAAATCATTAATCAAGTAACACGGAAAGCAAATTAGGGAGAGTTGCAAATGCTGTGCCCATCTTTAACTGAAGATTCAGGTTACCAGAATTCAAATTAGCAAGATTGAGGTATTAAGTCACCTGGGTTAAATATGATGGCAGAAAAAATGTTTTGTAAATCATATTATTCCGACCTGTAGTGAAAGGGTTAATATGGAAGAAAAGGCTAAATTTATGTAGCAAACATAATCATGGCTGGAGTGTTAAGATGCTGGCAGACTTTTTTTTTCTTTCCTTTTTTGCAGGTATATTCCTGCATGGGCCCTTAGGCTTCTGACTGGCCCATTTGGTGCTAGCAATTGCACCTTTTCAGGTAAAAAAATGAAAGTGAATTATGATGTCCAAGATTGTAAGAGAGAAATTATCACGAGCTCAAAATTTGGTGAGGGGTCAGGCAGTTTACAAATACTGTACAGTCTTGTAGGTACCATACTAGTTATATACAGGTTGATTTTCAGTGAGGGAAGTAAAAATTAAATTGGTGTTTTTTCTTGCACAGGCAGAGTGGCACTTTTGATGACAGCTACACCCCAAGAGTTAATATTGTAATGAGACCAGTATAAATTACAGTTGTCTTTAAAATTGAGATTCTACTGTATAATGCTTTGTCAGATGTAGCCATAAAGGTGTGTTCATGTAGTGTATAGACAGGAAAAAGAATGATGCTGCAAAAATCACATGACTGGCTTTTTTAAAATGACAACATAGAATTTAATTACAGAAAAACAATTAATCTGTGCATGAAAGTATTCAACAAAGCAAACACAGATTTATTGATCATATTATGGTTTTATGGTAGAATTTAATACTGTACTGGCAGCTTGGGAGCAGTGTTCAGTGGACATTTATTTTTTGCTTTTAATTTGAAATGAATTTGCTCATTCATATCTAAGTAGTTTAAATTAAAACTTGTTTTACAAATTAACAGCCTGGAAAGCAATTAAGGGAATTAGTGCATTGGTGGATATATTGTTCTTATTACTGTGTGGTTAATCACACACTTTGTGATTTGAAACGCAGGGTGAAAATTTTTGTATGCTGATCTGATGGGGAAACTAATGAACAGTAAAGCTTCAGTGATTCCTCACTGACTTGCTGATGAAAACCAATATTTTAGTAAGTACGGTACTGACACTTGCTTGCCCAGAAACACTACAAAAAGTTAATATTGTTTACAGGTGGAGCTGAACAGTGAGAGTCAAGGAAGCAGTTCACAAGGACCTATGGCAGCAGTAAAATTTCCAACCAATGTGAGGAAGTTACAACAGTTTCCTTCTCAAAATAGAGCTACTAATGGAGAGACAACTTCAGGCCAAAGCTTGGCCCTCATTCGAGAAAAGCCATATTCTTGTAATTTATGTTCATTTCGTACTGCCTATCAAAAAAATTTAACGGCTCATCAACGTACACACACTGGAGAAAAACCATTTTCCTGTCCATATTGTCTTGCACAATTTGCAAGAAAATCTCATCTTAAGCAGCACCTAAGAACTCATACTGGTGAGAAGCCATATGCCTGTCAGTACTGTTCATATCGAGGAAGTCAGATGAGTCATTTGAAAAGGCATCTTGAAACACACACTGGATAAAATGGGATAGTTGAATGCTGTACACTATTTATAATAAAGTATTTATACACTGAAACATTTTTCTGGATAAGAAAATAGTACAATATGTCTATTTTTTATATTTTGGCCCAGTAATATTTTAATGATAATTTAGAAAGTGAGAGAATGCAAGTGCAATCAATTTAGTCTTATGCTTGTTATTTATGAGACGCAAATTATTTATGTGTTATATTAGAATGTAAACAGAAAGAGTGACAGGCGTTTTGTGAATTCTATTCAGTTAATGTACAGAATGCTGCTCAGCACTGTTGTGTTAAAGAGCTGTTATGTATATATTTTTACATGCATTTTAATTGAAGTTCTTGTTGTGTCTTATTTTCTATATTATTTTACATTCAAACTTACACAAAGAAAATTAATTTCTACTCAAAATAAAGTTAAGATATTGAAATTATGAGTTTTACTTATTCAAGTGAAATATTATATTAATCTTAAAGTATGAATCTGTGGCATTACTGTTGTCAAATAGTGCCAAATATCTAAATAGAATATATCTTAAAATACAGTAATATGTGTTTTCAACTTTTTTAATATATCCAGATACAATATTTATCATTCTTCTTTGAGTTTAATACAATAAATTTCTTGTAGTATTTATAAAATGACAATAAACAATTTCTTGTTCATTCATCCAGTGAGACATGGGCTCTATTATTATTATATTATCGTAAGCTATGCATATATAAACCGTCAAATTGTGGAATAAATAATTTGTAACATAAAATGTTAAACATTAGCATCCAATTCACACATAAGGATCTTCTTCATAAGTTATTAGACCTCAACTTAGATGTATTATGCTTTACTTTATCATCAAAGTTATCAGAAATAATGGCCACATTTAGTATGCGAGTAAATAATTATCAAAAGAAGGCACCAAACTTGAGAGACTATGTAGCACATAGTATGTGAGTGACTTAAATACAGGCCACTTTTCCACAAAGTACAAATTATACCATTAGTTAGTTTAATGTGGTCAACTATTGGTTTTATACAAGCCAATGCAAGTCATCAGTTCCAACACTGTCATGGCTTTTCCAAACTTGGTCATTAATAAAAAGCTTGAAATACAATGCTACAAAATGTTTAAACCATTTCTTTCCAAGGAATTCAATTGTTCGTAAAACAACCAATTACAAATTTTCTCATTTACTTTTTTTTTTTTTTACCAGAATAATTTTTGTTTCTGTTTTGCATTAATACCTTAAAATTATACAGAACAACATATAAAATATGTTACGTGAACATACAGAACAACAAATAAAATATGGCAGTGATGAGGCCACAAGGCCCTCATCAAGGCCCTTGTGGATTTGTAACATAAAATTTTGTAGTACAGTGGAACCTCGGTTCTCGAATGCCACTCTTCAAATTTTTCGGTACTCGAGCTCAATTTCTTTTAAATTCTCAACTCGGTGCTCGAGGTTTACCTCAGTGCTCGTAATTTGTTTATACACGTACGGGTCTATCGAGCGCATGGTGCGGTGAGGCGTGCCTCGGTTTACTGGTGTCTCCCACCTAGTGACAACCTTTCTTGAATTCTTTGTAAAGAATTCCATTGTTTTTCCTGCCTTTTTTTTTTTGTTTCTGAACACTAAAGCTCTTACTATATATTATGCCATGGGTCCCAAGAAAGTCAGTGGTAAAGTTCAACCTAAGAGAACAACTGTGAGGATGACCATAGAGCAAAAGCAAGAGATCATTCGTAAACATGAAAATGGTATGGGGGCTGTTGAACTAGCTAGACAGTACAATAAAAATATGTCAACAATATGCTCTGTAATTGCTGAGAAAAAAGGAAATTATGAGTGTTAAAGTGGCAAAAGGCATAACAGCAGTTACAAAACAAAGAACACCAACACTTGATGTTGAAATCTTATTATTAATTTGGATAAACAACAAGCAGTTTGCAGGTGATAGCATTTCAGAGGCCATCATTTGTGAAAAAGCAAGGCTATTGAATGAAGATCTTATAAAGAAAACCCCCTGGAATGAGTGATGCAGATACGAAAGAGTCTAAGGCAAGTAGGGGATGGTTTGAGAAATTTCGGAAAATAAGTGGCATTCATAGTGTTGCAAGGCATGGGGGAGGGTGCCAGCTCAGATAAAGAAGTGGCTGAAAGATTTGTTGGTGATTTTAAAGATTTTGTAGATAGTGAGGGATACCTACCACAACAAGTGATTAATTGTGACAAGACAGGGCTATTCTGGAAAAAATTGCCAAAGGGTAATTGCTCCTGGGTAATACATTACCCAGGAGAAGCCATTGCCTGGACACAAACCTATGAAAGATAGGCTAACTCTTGTGCTGTGTGGTAATGCAAGTAGCGATATGAAAATTAAACCCTTTCTTGTGTATCATTTCGAAAATCCAAGGATTTTCAAAAAATATAATGTGCAGAAAAACAAACTAAGTGTGATGTGGAGGGCTAATAGTAAGGCATGGGTGACAAGGCAATTTTTTACCGATTGTGTGAATAAAGTGGTTTGCCCTGCCATCAAAATATATCTGCAGGAGATAAGTTTGCCACTCAAGGCCGTGCTTCTCCTCAACAATGCTCCTGCTCATCCTCCAGACTTGGAGGATTCATTGTTGGAGGAATTTAGTTTTGTTACAATAAAGTTCTTTCCTCCCAACACCACTCCTCTAATTTAGCCTATGGACCAGAAAATCATTTCCAATTTTAAGACATTTTATGGCAGGACACTTTTCCGGAAATGTGTCCAAGTGACTGATGCCACAAACTTCACCCTCAAAGAGTTCTGGAAAAACTATTTTCACATTCTGAGTGCTTTAAACCTTATAGACAAAGCCTAGCAAGAATTGACTCTAAGAACCATGATCTCTGGCAGGAGAAAATTGTGGCCTGAATGTGTTCCAGAATGAGACTTTGAGGGGGTTGAGCCTGAACCTGCAGTGCCAATTGTTAAGGAAATTGTTTCTCTGGGCCAGAAATTGGGCTTGGAGATGGATAGTGCTGATGTGGAGGAGTTGGTGGAGGATTACAGTGAAGAACTGACCACAGACAAGCTTCTAGCTCTATAGAAGGAGCAGCAAGAGGCAGCTGAGGAAATTTCTTCAAGGGAGTAGGAGGCAGTAGAGGATGTCTCTTCCTCAACAATTAAGAAGTGGTGTACACTATGGGAAGAACTGCAAAGTTTTGTTGAAAAGTGTCACCCAGATAAAGCTGTAATATGCCATTGTGCTAACCTTTTTAATGACAATGTGATGTCTCACTTCAGACAAGTGTTACAACGTAGGGATAAACGTGTTGCTAGACAGGTTTTTAGCAAGAAAAACAAGCAGAGAGCCACAACTAGGTCCTAATGGTATGCCTGCAAAACATAAGAGAGAGAGAGAGTACCCCAAAGAAGTCATCACTACCTGATGCTATAATGGAAGGGGACTCCCCTTCCAAACACTAACACCTCTCCTCCTTCCCCCCAACCCCGCTCACTGTCTTCCATATGCCAACAAGAGTCCTCAATCAAGGTAAGATGTACTTATTGTAGTACAAAATAGTAGTACAGTACTAGTATGTATAAAATGTATTTTTAAGTTAATATTTTTGGGAGTGTGGAAAGGATTAATTCAATATACATTATTTCTTATGGGAAAATTTGTTTCAGTTTTTCAATTTTTGGTTTTCAAATCATCTCTGGGAACGAATTAAATTTGAAAACGAAGGTATGTACCACTGTATATATTATTTACTATTTTATGTAATAAAATTCTTTACCCTATATATTTGAGTACCAGTATTCTAAAGCTTATAATTACTGGATATTTTAATAGCTAATTTTAATATGAAATCCAGACTGTTCTTGATATCTAGGACATTTGCATTTATTTTTTATTCAGGAATATAAATTGCAACTTACACAAGTAAAAATTAACCTTTTTCTTTTTACAATATCTGGCCACATGCATAAGCCTTTTGTTTTCAAATTAGACTGAAAATAAACTATATATTTTTATTAAAAGTAAATGCAAATACTTATTAAAATGAAAATCAGAATATAGACAGCCACATGATTTCCAAACACCACTTACTTGATATGCCTGCTTATCATTATGGCAAATATATAAATAAATAAAGTTAAAAATAAAGTGGTGAGAGTGAACAGTCTGAATAATGTGAGATAAAGCAGTAAAAGTGAATGGGGGGTGAGGCATCATACCATTTGTTTTGGTTTGTGGTGCGGTATTGGAGCTTTCATTCTCTGGATTTTTTTAAATATATCTGCAAAAGTTATGAACATTTGTGCACCATTTTGGCTACAAGAGCAGGAAATTTGTCGATAATTGCTTTTACAAGAGAAAGTGTTCATTGATGACTTTATGAAGTAAGTTGAGCTAATAAAGAAGGTCAAGAGTGGGATCTTGAGAAGTGTTGTTTGTGCTGAGTACCAAGTGAGCAGTACTATGCTTTCTGACATTATTACGGCTAAAACTACTATCTTACACATGTACAGTGATCTGCCACTTTAAGTAACCTTATGTGACATTTTTTTCATATCAGCCAGACCTAATGCAAGGGCT